AAATCAGTCATCAAGGCTTCAATTTCCCAAAACCACTGAGCTGATATTGGTAAAGGTAATTAACCACTGGAACAATTTATCAAGGTCATGGTAGATTCTCCATCACCGGCAATTTAAAATCAAGATTGGATTTTCTTTTTTAATTTATGCTCAAATTCAAAAGGAATTATTTTGGGGACATTCCATGTCAGACTAGCTGGTCACAGTGGTCCCTCGTGACCTTGGAATTGATTATATTATAGCGAAGAGGAGCCATAGTTTTTAAAATCCCTCTAATGGTAGAAGTGGAGCAGTTGAGCCAGGCTGCAGAGCAGGCGCAGTGCTACATGATGAGGAAGGCAGCACATCACTGTAGCATTATCAGTGGTCACAATCTTTATTATGGAAGATATCTCCTTGATCTATAAGTTCATCAGGCCAGGGACTGTTTCTTACTATGGTTTGTACAGGGCCTTGCACAAAGGATCCCCATTTCTGGATGAAGACTTCGAGAATTTCTGAAATACCACTACTACTTCATTCGATTAATAATGCCATCAATACTAAGAGGATACCAAGAGTGACAATGTAATACATAACTAAGGGAACATCAAACAAAGCTCTAAAGGGCATAAGTGAAATCCTGGATCCATTGAAGTGAATGGCAAAACTGCATTAGGATTTCACTTCTCCATTTTTTCCTAACATGGAGATTCTTTTGAGAGCAATGAGAATAGTTCAACTCTCAGATCATTTACTAAAAAGCACTGAGTTACTGCTATATTCAAAGAAGAAAGGAAGGGATTGTAGAAGTTCAAGCCAACATAGAATATTAAGAAATACAATTAGTGATATAAAATGTTGGAAAAAAATAGTTTGAATTAGATAGACATCTGGGTTTCTTGTTGGTGCCCTAGAATTTAACTTAATTCAAATTTCCCTCAACAACATATTTTAAATATACGCACCCAAACACAATACAAAGCTATAATGTTATCTCTGGTTTATAGACACAGATGCAATCCACTCAAGTTTCATTTTCATGGTTTACAATATCAGCAATCACAATCAAAATATCATTTTATAGTGTGGAATTTGGTGCAGTTTATGATCTCTACATTGATTTAATATACTGCATATTAAGTCTGTCAGATAGTGTGTGCATGTCACATAAGAGCATGATTCCAAATTGATGTGTTTTACTAGCAGCTATGTATATTTTAATTGATGGGGGTACCCTGGTGTCCTAAGCATCTAAAACTTTAGGAAATATATCTAATTTATTTATAAAGTGGTTTAATAGGTAGCAGACAGCATCTAGTTCAATCGGTGATATTTCATTCAGAAGGTGATGTAAAAATATGTACTTCAACAGTTGCTCCTATAAATCATATTTTTCCAGCGAGCAAGTGATTCATTTTTCTTTAGATGATTTATCCATGTTGGCATTAACTGTATCAAACTTACAATATAATCAATTCAGTAGGTGATATATACACTTTACCAGTAACACACTTTTGATAAAAGTTATCGAGCACAGTATAATGTAGACATAATAGTTCTGAATTTTGAAGTGAATGACACCCAGTATTAGTCTTGTCCGTATTCATTTATACTGCAAAGTTACCATTTCAGGCAGTTACTTAGCAACAGAAAATAAAAGTTAATGAGTTTGGATTTACTCTGAGTATTAAAGCCTTATTTACCCTGAGGGTATTTTGGTAGCCCTGTAATCTAAAGCATTTGTCATGCTAATTCCCTGCCTCAGTGGTAAGGCTACTTGTACCATAATTAATGCACACTAGGCCATGTAACATCAAATAAAAGTATCTTCGCACACTCGGTGATAATTAGCAGCTCTGCTACTCAGTGGCATGCAAACTTATCTCTAAAAAAATAGCTTAATCTTCTTATTAGTCTCTGCTGATCTTTGACAACAGAAGTGAGGTGTAGGAAACAAAAGGAATAGCTTAAGATGTGCATGCTATAGCTAATGAAAACAACAGTGACAGAGTAATAAACTAAGCACCTCATATTAAAAAATAATTGTTTTATAAACATTTTTGTATCCTTCCTCCTGCAATAGCCCCATGTCCACAAAGCTAGTTAGTCTACATTACTTATCTCACAACCGGATGCCTAGGAGATGTGGAAATGAAGAACTGTAGTGAAAGCCAAGAATTTGTGGAGTAGCCTGAAGTAGGATGACTTTCCTTAGGGAAAAGGAAGGAAAGTCTGGAGGTCTGTGAAGAGCCTTGAAAAGAAGACCAGCTCTAAGGCAGGACACAGCTGGATAGGGAATTTGGAAGAGAGTCACAAAGAGCGAACCAGTAGCCCAGGGAAGCTGGTCTTATTAGTCAAACTCATACTGAAACTCTGAAAAGTTTGTGATTTGGTCTGGAGGTAGAGCTGATGTCTAAAATGGTTCTTATCTTGTAAGAATTAATCCACACATCTTTACTCTTGTTACCTCCAAAAATAAAAAGAAAAGAAAAAAAAAGCCCTATAACAATCAATATTACAAAACAGTAAAAGACATATTGTATCTCCATCCCCTTCCACAAGAGGGGAAAATTTGCTTAGAAAACTCCAAAGTGAATGGCATGAAATTTCTGAGCCAGCAACCTCTCTGGGGAAGAGTTTGCTGCCACTTGGAGGGGATATGGACCTCTAACTGCAGAGAAACCCCAGAAGCTGAAATGAAATCTGGAGATCCATGCAGAGACAGACAACCGTATTCTTCCTCCCAGGCCAAGGATGCCGGAATGGGGCCGGGGGTGGGGGGAGGAGGTGTCAGGGGACCATGGCCCCATCACTTTTAAAAGGTCAAGAAAAAAAAATACATTGAATTAATCACTCAGGGATAGGAACTCCTGCCTCTCCATGGATGTTTTGCTATAAAAGCAAGAGACGTGATTCAAGTCACTTTTTAAACCTATTGCCTGCTGAGAATTGGGCCAAAAGAGAAAGATTCAGTGTAGCTAACTGAGTTGCAATACAAAACATACAGCAGCATTGGCTTGCTAAAATGCAGTGCTTATTAAAGAGCATTATTACATATTGCCAAATTCTTTTTCTCTGTGTGTTTCTGTTTATTTATTTATAAAAAAGGCACACATTTTAAATAGATGCAAGGTAGGTTTTACAAGGCAATTCTGAATCTGACAACTGCTCACACGGCAACTAAATATATCAGCAACAAGCAGCAGGAATACTGTATATAAGCAGGTGAAAAGATAGGATTGCAAAGAGTGGTGATAGTTTTAATATCTTCAATATGGCCATTCAAAAGTCATTTGTGTGTTTGTTACAAATATCTGGGTTTTGCTTTGGTTTTAAGTTGGTAGCTTTAAGGCATTTCAGCAAGTTTTTATACCTACAGTGATAGTTTTGGAAGGAGAAAGGGTTAAAAAGGGCTCTGAACTGGAATTACAAGGAAAATGAATATTACACGAGAAGTGGTATAAAAATGAAGCAGAAATATTTTTAAAGGTTGGTAAAACTAGTAGGTGTTTTACTAATGGACCATCTCTAATTTACACCTGAAATCCTAGAAGAAAATTGAAAAGATGAGTACACTGAATTTGAAAACAGAGCACATTATTTTCAGAAAAACACATATAAATCCTTAAAATATTGGCAGATAAAGAGAATCATGGTTGACAGATCTGGAAACTCCAGGGCTAACATTTTCAAATTTGGAGATCTAAATTTAAGGATCCAAGTGTCACATTTTAAAATGCATTTAGGCATCTAAAGATGCATCTAGGCGCCTGAGGGATTTTCAAAAGCACCTAAGCTCTTAACTGCAATAGGACCGAGGCACCGAGGAGCTTTTGAAAATCCTCCTAAGTGACTAAATACCTTTTAAAATCTGGCCCCAAGTCTATATTTAAGTACCTAATTAATAAGAGTATGATTTTCAGAGGTGCAGGGCATTTGCAGCTTACTTTCACTTCAGTGGGAGTTTTAGATGTTCATCACTTCTGAAAATATCATACCACTCTTATTTAGACACCTAAATGAGATTATAATGGCCCGACTTTAGTTACTTACCCACACTGAAAAATTTGGCTTAGGTGTTTTACTCTCAAACCAAACTACCCAAATCATGACGGCAATCTGGGCTATATATTTTTCCTCCCTGAAATATTGCTAGATCTGTAGTCCAAACATATATAATAGAAAATAATTTGGACCTATTTTCTTCTATGATGATTCAAAGTCTGTACTAGTCCTATGTTTAAAAAACTGTATCTTAAATTACCCACACATTCACAAGTGATTGTCTCACGATATTCTTTAGAAGACTGAACAAATGTTTAATCTTTCAGAATTAAAAAAATAAATACAGTACTGACTTTCTCCACATTTAGATTCAAATCCTGGAAGCACAGTGACTGGGAGTAGAGATGCTGGATGTTGTTTCTTCTATCATAAAGATCCCACCAACAAAATCAGTGTTCCGTGAATGTTCATACAGTTGCTGCTGAATACACATTAGCTAGAGGAAGACTGGATTTGGTGCATGGATTTCCTGGCCCTTTATTTTTACTAATCTCATGTGCTATGAAAACATTCTGCTCTGCTGTTTATTCAGGGGCCAAGATGCAATTAATTACCTCTATTCCACAGTTCAACATAGGGTATGATTTTGCCCTAACTTCACAGAGACCTTGCCTTTTACTTTTATCCACAATGAAAAACACTTATGATCTTTCTATAAAATACATACGGAAGCACTATAATGAATTCTATTCTTCTGCAGAAATGTGTGTACAGCTCTCATTAAGTTTAACGGATTCACATATTGGCACAGAGGAGATAATATCTTTCAGTGTGTTTAGGCTATACATCTAAAGACGCTCATAAGTATTCTGAACGTGTCAATCTCATGTGCACACTGACCATAATTGATGGTAAAATTGAAACAGACCTTTTGCATAAGGTGTCTGTAAAAGGAAGCTGCAGTGTTTTCAACCTACCTTATCAGTGCTAATGTTTTCACTGTAGGTACTCACTGTGATCTGACACCAAACACAATGAAGTCCAGTCAGGCCTTGGTAACATTTTATATTTTTGTGACACTTATCACATTTTGTCGGACAGTTTCCTTCTACCCAGTAGTGGTGCATTACCTATGAAAGAAAAGTACAGGCGTAAGTAGGATTGCCAGCTTTAACAGCTACATGCCAAAGTAAAGGCTACCACAGGCTTACATCAGTGTTCTTTTTGGATTTCACATATGTTTTGATACAAGAGGCAGGGGCTCTTGAAACGCAGCGTTCATGGACTGTGTACTTGCAAACTGAAAAGAGAAGCATGTTAAGACTGAGTTAATGCTGTTTCTGACTACATTTCTATGAAAAAATGACATCAGTAGAACTAGGTTTCATATCTACTACTATTTAATCAATCCAATCAGTCAATAAAAACTCAAAGTAGGCTGTTTTTTTCCATGCAATACAAAAGACCAATTAGTACAGGAAATATTATGCAAGTGAAAAATCCAAGAATGCTCTATCATGGCACAGCAGGAAATGCTTAATTAAATAAGTCCTCACTAAAATTTTTCACAATAATTCCCAAATGACAATAATATTAAAGACAAATTGATGACTGCCAAATGGTTTGGTGTCATTTGCTAGTAGGAAGAAATCTATATTTTACAAACTATAGGCAAGAGAGCAGCTTTTTATGAAAACAAAAGCCAATGAGTTTATGTTATTCTCTCTATTGATTTATAAATCTTAAATGGTTGATTAGTTCATTTCCAGATAGCTATTGTTGTCATGCATTTCATGTAATCATCCAAAGTTCAACTCTTGCTTGCCATAATGCTACTCCTATACAGAGAAGCTTCCTTTTCTAAATCCACTACCATCAGTTTTACATACTTGTCTTTATTGACAAACCTTGTCTATAAAGATCACACTAACTATAATGGGGGAATATAAAAGTGCCAGTTTATGATGCAAAGCTCCCCTGACTTCAATTATAAAACTCTACGCTCATATTTCTGTGATGATTGAATAGTTACCATTAGTGCATCCCTGTGCGTTGATGCGGAAATAATGCTAGTGCTTATAATGACAGCATTGAACAGATTCAACTATTTAAACCTAAAGATGAATGTCTGCCTGCATTAGACAAGTCTCATGCTTTTGGCCTTGACAGCAATTAAGCACAAAGGACTTCTAAACACCTTGCTTGCACCTATTACACAGACCCAGTGGGAGGTGCAGCCATTAATCAGACAAACTGCAGGGAGTAACATTGTTGATTGTGCCATGGAGGGATGGTAGGGCCCCCTGCAGTTCTCTAGCTGTTGTTTTTTCCCCTCCCTACACAATTTTAAACCAAAAAAAAAAAGTGCAATCTATAGCAATGCTTCAAAAATATGTGGGAGGGGAATCATTTATTAGGTGGAAGGAATGGAGGAGGGATTCAGGAAGATATGGAAGTGTAGGAGTGGTTTAGTAAGAAAACTCAGGCCCCTTCCTATTTGCGCACTTGTAGAAACTGAAAGGAACCCATAAGTTCCCTACAGAGTGATGATCACTACTGAAAAATGGCCAATTTAGTGTCAAGCAACATAGCAAGTAAAGAAAAGAGAAGGATATGGTAGCAAAAAGAAAAGGTCATGGTAAATGCAAAAGAGGAAGTTTACAAACAGGAGCACTCTTCTTTTCCAAGGAAGTTTTATGTTATAGACAGGGAAAATCCTATTTTTATACTACTGATATCTACAACAGAACAGAATATACCTGTCATATGCTGGGATGTAGGTGGTCCGACCTAGTGGTCAGAACAGGAGCCAGGCCTAGTCGTCAGAAGAGAGTTGGAAGGTGGAACTGGAGTCACGGTCAGGAGACAAGACTCAGAACAGAAATGGAATTGTGGTCAGGAGACAACCCAGTGATTGGAGCCAAGAGCCAGGGGGTTCGGAGGAAGATAGAGGCTAGGGCCGAGGTGCAAACAGGCACGGGTTGGCACAAAGCCAGTTACAGGAAGCAGATGTGACCACTTACAGGTGTAGAACATATTGAGCAGCTGATGTGCTACTGTATCAAGGGGTAGCCGTGTTAGTCTGTATCCACAAAAATAACGAGGAGTCAAGAGGCACCTTAAAGACTAACAGATTTATTTGGGCATAAGCTGATGTGCTGCAGTTGCTACAAGGCTTAAATGATGTGCTGGCTCTTCTGTCCAACCAGGAAGCACAGTCACTTAGTGAGAGCTTATTGGGCTTAGTCATGCTCATTGTGTTGCCAGGAGACTGCGTCCGGAGCAAGCTGAGTTCTTGACTTTACCTCCCCCAGCTCATCCCGGCCCTGGCTTGTCAGAATATCTTTGGTGAAACTCTCAGAAGAGATTGGGAGTGAGAACATTTTTTTCTGGCTCTGAGGATCGCTCCTCTGACCCAGAACCCCTTCCACTCTATCAGATACTGGAGCTTCCATCTGACCCATTGGGAATCAAAGACCTGCTGGATTTCATATTCTTCCTGCCCCTGGACTATTATGGGGAGTGAAGGAGGGTCTACCCAGTCAGGGAAGGGGTTGTTAACGAACAGCTTGCAGAAGGAAACATGAAAGACAGAGTGAATCTTGATGGGTTCTGTGCTATGAACTTTAAAGGGCACTGGGTTTATTTGTTCAATGATCTGAAAAGAATCCAAGTATTGGTGATTGAGCTTGGCGGAAAGGAAGTCTGTTCTCAAGTTTGGGACAAGAGTCCAACCTTTAACCCCATGGCAAGTTTAGAGGCAGCTTGTTGCTTTTGGCTGGCATAATGCCTATAAGACTCTTTAGATGCAAGTAAGTACTCTTTGAATTCTTGGTATACTCATTGAAGGTGAAAAGAAAAGGAGTACTAGTGGCACCTTAGAGACAAATAAATTGGTTAGTCTCTAAGGTGCCACTAGTACTCCTTTTCTTTTGCGAATACAGACTAACACGGCTGCTACTCTGAAACCTGTCATTGAAGGTGGAGGACTGGGTCTGTGGCGGCTGGGATGGCACAGCCTTCTGGTAGGTCTGGATGAAACTGGGGATGAAAACCAGAATTCACAAAGAATATGGTCTGTTGAGGTGAAGTGTAGGTTGAATTGTTGTATGAGAACCACAGCAGTGGAAGCTAATCATCCTGATGGAAATTCTAAAAACAGTGGCAGTATTGCTCCAAGGTCTTCTTGACTCTTTCAGTTTGGCCATCTGCCTGCCGGTGGTCGGCTGTCAAGGTGAAAGGCTCAGTGCCGAAAAGGTGGAGGAAATTCCTGCCAGAAAACAAGAAGCAATCCCTATGATAGAGGAGGTATTCTTGCAGGTGGAAGCTTGAACTGGGGAGACAGCAGTGTTTCTTAGAGACTGACAGACTGGGGCTGCAAATGGATCACCTGGGAGCAGAATTAGGATAGTGGTTGTCAGATGACATTGATGGCCCCACAGACAAAGGATGGTGTGGTGAGAGCTTCCTACTCCACTTCATGATACTCGTCCTTGCAGGACAGGATGTCCACCTTCCTGCTTGTAGTCCCAGACAGTAAGTAACCATAAAAAGCCAAATCAAGAGAGGAAAAAACCCAGCCAATCTGAAATTCGTTGAGTCATCAGGTTGTCTGATGTTCCAAATTCTTGTGATCTGTACAGACTTGGACAGGACCCGCCCGCTCCCCTCCCCAAGGAAGTGATGCCATTCCTCAATGGCGGACCCAATGGCCAGAAGTTCTTTGTCCCTGTGATGGTGTCTCCACCCCACACAAGGACTGAAGGATTAAGGTGGCTAGTTGGACCAATTAACTGCCCTGGCTGCACCTGAAGGAGAAGTCAGGGAGCAGGTATTAATTAGATGAGGCTCAGTTGGATGAGAACAGGAGGAGCCTGTATAAAGCCCAGGAGCTGAGAGCAGAAAAGGGGACTGCAGAGCAGTCAGCAGTCAGGCCCTGGGAAAAGGGAGTTGCTAGATTGCTATTTGTTTAAAATGTTTGGAAAGAAGAGGGCTATTTTACTCCAGTGTATTTGATTATTTGATGTGGAAACCAATACATACAGGATTAATTTCCGAAATGGGACAGTGTCCACCACTGAAAAAGGTAAATGTCCGATTCTGCCACCTTTATTCACAATTGGTAATCACAAATTCATCAGTAGGACTACTTGCTCAGAAAGATATAAATCAATATACCTTTGATGGGCTACTTTTGACTCAAGGGAAGGAGAAAATGTTTTACAGTGACAGACTTAAAGAGCTCAATCTGTTTATCAAAAAGAATACTAAGAGGTGACTTGATTACAGCGTATAAGTACCTTCACAGGGAGAAAATACTGGTTACTGAAGGACTCTTTAATCTAGTAGAGAAAGTTATAACAAAAAACAATGCCTGGAAGCTAAAAATTCAAATAGGAAATCAGGCACTGTTTTTTGTTTTGTTTTGTTTTAAACAGTGAGTGATTAACCACTGGAACAAACTACCAAAGCAAGTGAGATTCTCCATCTCTTGATGTCTCTGAATCAAGACAGGGTGCCTTTCTGGAAGATGTGCGTTAGCCAAACACAAGTTATTGGGCTCAATATGGGATAACAATGAAATGTAATGGCCTTTGATATAAAGGAGGCCAGAGTAGATGATCCAATGGTCCCTTCTCTCTTTAAGCTCTATAAATGTATGAATGTGAGGACGAGCGACATAAATCAAGCCTTATGATTAGGGTTGCCAGGCAGCCAGTTTTCGACTGGAACTCCTGGTCAAAAAGGGACCTTGGCGGCTCCAGTCAGCACCGGTGACCGGGCTGTTAAAAGTCCGGTCGGAGGTGCAGCAGGGCTAAGGCAGGCTCCCTGCCTGCCCTGGCTCCACATGGCTCCCAGAAGTGGCTGGCATGTCCAGCTCCTAGGGGGCTCTGCACGATGTCCCCCACGCCGAGCTGCGGGAGCAGCACATACAGACAGAGGCAGTGCATAGAGCTGCCTGGCCCCCCTGCCTGCGGGCTGCAGGGACATGCCACTGCTTCTGGGAGCCATGTGAAGCTAGGGCTGGGAGCCTGCCTTAGGCCCCAGCTTCACTGTGCTCCTGACCAGGAGCCACCTGAGGTAAGCACCACCAGGCTGGAGCCCACACCCGGAACCTTCTCCAGAACCCCAACTCCCTGCCCTAGGTTGGAACCCCCCACCCTAACTCCCTCCCAGAGCCTGCACCCCAAACTCTTCCTGCACCCCAGTCCCCTCCTGCATCCAAATGTCCTCCCAGAGCTGCACCCAGCACCCCCTCCTGCACCCCACCCCCCTGTCCCAGCCCTGAGCTCCCTCCCGCATCCAAACTCCTTCCCAGACCCCGCACTCGCTCCTTCACCCCAACCCCCTGCCCCCTGCACCCAAACTCCCTCCTGGAGCCCACACCCAGCACCCGCCCACACCCCAACCCCGTTTCAGCCCTGAGCCCCCTTCTGCACTCCAAAACTCTCATCCCTGGCCCCACCAAGGAGCCCACACCCCCCTCCCTCACTCCAACCCCCTGCCCCATCCCCGAGACTGCATCACCTCCCTGCACCACAAACCCCTCATCCCCAGCCCCAAGCCAGAACCAACACTCCAACCCCCCTGCCACAGCCCAGAGACCCTTCCTGCACCTTGAACTTTTCATTTCTGGTGCCAAGCCGGAGCCCGCACCCCCAGCCAGATCCCTCAGTCCCTCCCGCACCCCAACCCGCTGCCCCAGCCTGGTGAATGTTAGTGAGGGTGGGGGAGAGTGAGCAACTGAGGGAGGGGGGATGGAGTGAATGGGGTACGTGGCCATGGAGAAGTGGCAGGGCAGGGGTTAGGGCCTGAGGCACGACAAGTGTATTTGGTGTGAGTAGAAAGTTGGCAATCCTATTTATGATTGAAGAGGAACTCATAGCATCTATGTAAATTGACTGCCAGTCCTAGGAACCTGGTACTTTGAAAATCAGGCCCCAATATGCTAGACAGAATGAATGATGAGGAAGATTAGAATAACTAAATATGGCTATACAGTACCTGGGCTAGTTGATGACTAAGGAAGAATATGAATGACGTAACTATTTACAATTATTTAAAGGGAGAAATACCAAAGAAGGAGAACAAATATTTCAGGTCACACCACAACCAGGATGTGCAGGAAGAAATTAAGCAAAGGTATATTTACGCCAAATATAAGAGGAAAAGCCCTAATACTGAGGTCATTATAATACAGAATATTTTCTCAAAGGAGTTTTGAAAGTCTCACTGTTTCAAGAATTTAAAACTGGTTCAAACACTCAAGTATAAAATACAGGGAAAATAATCAATGTGGCAGCAGGAGTCTGGATCCAGAGGATCTAGTAGATCTACTGTGAATGTAACACTTAGCAAGCAGCAGCACGAGAGAATGCTCACTGGAATACATATACTCACAGGAACAGCAGAGACCCTGCTTGCCTACTCCTATTAACATGTTCAAGCAAAGATTACAGTAGGCAGGCTTGTTAAAGTGTTTCAGTCTCCATACATGCTGCCCATCATCCTTCACATTCTGCACAGGGACATAAAAGAAACAGATTCCGTTTAATGACATACACAGTGAAACATATAAGTGCCAATAAAAACTGGAGATTGACTCAAGTACGTAAAAGACAAGCTGTTACTTCATTTATTACTTCACACCAGATCACAACATAATCCTTCTAAATACATGGAAACTGATGTGCTAATAGATTCCCCAGAAGCTCATGGATGCCCATGCATTTCCAAAGCCATAAAGAAAGGTAGACACCAGTAGTTAAGACTGCAATAGATTCCTGTCAGTAGATGTAATAAGGCAACTATTTAACTAGACAGGAGTTAGTTCTAAAATATATATTGCTCCATCTTAACAGCTACAGAATTGTTAACATTTCAACAGATTTGCTTGAGGGGCCTTCAGGGTGTAAAATACACTCCCTGTGGAAATCATATGGTCTGTGCTAAGCAAGAGGTCAGACAATGATCATAATGGTCCCTTCTGGCCCTACATTCTATGAATCCACATCCTTCTATCAAAGAACTGATCTTGATTGGGCCGACAGTGGGATTTATATCCTGGATCTTCACCACTAAAAGAATGAGTCCCTAGTACTTGATCCAAAGGACTAAATCCTTCAGCTGGAAGCAGTAGCAGACTCATAAGTCTTGTGTGTGGACCAGCCACTAGATGGGGATAGACCTACAATCTCCTAGTATCGATTATACTTGCCTTTAAAACGTGAATGAAAACATGAATATTTAAAAGATTTCTTTACGTTTTAATCAACATAAGCTCCCATTTACAAAACACTCAAACACTATCACTGAGGGTTTGTTTTTTTTTTTTTATATTGTAGCTGTTTTTTTAAAATGTTTGCTTTGTGCTACTTTCATGGTTGCTAATTATAGTTTGCAACTATTTGTGTAGATCCCAGGTTCCTTGGCTGGTGTGTTGGCAGGCTTCTTTATTTTTCTAAAATTAGTAACTATTAAACTTATTTTAATAAGCAACAGATTCACCTAACATATACCAACAGCCTTATTAAAACTACCTTACGTTCTTTTTTGGGACACTAGATGTCAATCTGTATTTATAAGTAAAACAGTATGTAACATAATAAAAGTAGTGAATCTCCATCAGTTAAATACAAACAGCAGGAATTTTTCAAATTTTTGTTCTTTGATTTTTGTGTTCTGTGTGTTCCTATATTGCTGTGCGTGTCCTGGCCATTTCTTTATTAGACATTCAGTACTAGCATTCTAACCAAGATTACAACTATATAAGGAATACATAATTTCTGATTGAAACTGCAGTGTCTGGACAAATGAATATTCAGGTGACCCAGAAATTTTACTTGTGTGTGTGCAAGAAAAAGCAAAACTGTGCCTAATATTTATGAATTGCTCCAATTTTCATCCTAGCTTTACAACCAAACCCAAAGAAGGTGTAGCCCAACAATACCATATACCTGACTAAAATATACCACAACACACTGAGCCAAATTCAGACCTGGTGTAGCAGGATGCAACTGAACTTGGCCAATACTGCTTAAGCATTTTCCACTCTGTTGTGTTTTGACACATACAGATGCATTCTGAAAAAGTAAAGTAAATGAAGATCATCCTCAATATATTTGTCAGACATGAAAAAAAATAGCTATACGCATGGCTGGTTCTTACCCAGTAATTGATTTATGATATCAAAGACCACAAGAATGGGTCTCACATATAACAGCCCTGATTTTGAATGTGCTGTGTGAGGCCTTAGTCATAGTACTGTCAGCATAATTCAAAGAACATAATGCAACTCAAATGTCATGTAGCTCTATTAGAATTTACTTATTAGAGTCTAACTTTACTAGTTAAATTCTGAAAAAAACATAGTATTGTTCTATTCTTTAAACTCAAGTTATTTGTCACTGATGAGTCAAAGTCCCTGAGGATTTACTCAACATCATGAAGATAACAATGGCTTTGTAATAAAGAGCGATACATCAATGAAATAAGAATTTCTGTATCTGGTCCAAAGCCAAACCCTACGAAGAACACAACTTTCAATGATTTCTACAAAATACCTACATCAACTAAAGTCAACAGAAGTAGAAATCAGTGGGAATATTTTTGCCTATCTGGACACTTCAGGATCAGACCCTGTGTGGTGCTCCCCTAATATTATCAGGAGCTCAAATGCCATCTTTGACAGCTGGGCACTGTCAGGGCTTCCTTTCTGTAGAGGGAGCAAGAAAGATGCTTAATATGGGACTTTAAGGCTGACAAAGAGTATGGACGTTTTCCAATATTCCCTGAAGAATCAGAAATAGATTCTGCAGCTGTGGAGCCCCAGAGTCCTGTTGAGCTTCTTCAGGACTGGCAGCTGTATACTGCATGTTTTGTTAGACACAGCTCCATAATTTTAACCCTTATCTGAATACCCCACTCAACATTTTTTTTTTTAATAGTGTTAAATTTTATTGTACTAAATGCATTGCAAGTCTTCTAACAGAGTGACTAGGCACTGGAAAATAAAGATTATGTAAAGGTTTTTTGAGATAAATAATTACAAACTTTAAACACTTTAATTCTAAAACATATTAATGTGGTCAATATGTACAGCAGGGGCCGGCAACCTTTCAGAAGTGGTGTGCCGAGTCTTCATTTATTCACTCTGTTTTAAGGTTTCGCGTGCCAGTAATATATTTTAACGTTTTTAGAAGGTCTCTTTCTATAAGTCTACAATATATCACTAAGCTATCGTTGTATGTAAAGTAAATAAGGTTTTTTAAATGTTTAAGAAGCTTCATTTAAAATTAAATTAAAATGCAGAGTCCCCCGACCGGTGGCCAGGACCCAGGCAGTGTGAGTGCCACTGAAAATCAGCTCACGTGCTGCCTTTGGCATGCGTGCCATAGGTTGCCTACCCCTGATGTACAGTATTAAGCTAAAAAGAACCTAAAATCCAAACTGATCTTTTTTTCTCAAAAAGAAAACTATTTACTCTGTATTAAAGTTCACATAAAATAAATTATAACAAATAAATACACTTTTTGTTTCACGTTAGTTTCATTTTACTTTTTTCAGTTTTAAGACTGGCCATTCCATGTGACTGTGCCTCTTCTTATTTGAAGAGAACATATGGACTAACTTAGCTGGCATTTTCCTTATCAGAAAAACAAACAAGTCTTGATGTGGGTGTTCTGCCAATTAAAACACTTAACTGTGTTACAGGCTGCAACTGATGCAGAAATCCATTACATAAACACAATGCACTTTTAGAAAATAGCAAATTAAATTTTTGCTCTTGTGCACTGCCAAAAATCAGCAATAAAGTACTGCAGATGATCATGCATGTACATAACTTTTTAAAACACTGCCTGGGGGGGAGGGGGAGAAAAGCCCACACAACGTGAAACAAACCCCCTCAGTGTAAGACTTTAAATATAAATAAAATCCACATTACTGACACATAGTGCATTGAGTGTCATTCAAAAGTCATTTTACTTCCATATCCTGAAACAGAATTTAACAACAAATAGTCATTTAGAAGATCTCAAACCAGGGCAGCTTCAATACAAATCTCGTCCTCAGTTCATTATACTACACTTAAAATGAATCCTCCATATGGCATACACAGACGTTAGCACACAACGGTAACAGTAACATTTTTTCACTCACACCAAGTCTCAAGACTGACTATGGTCCTGATCCTACTTTCACAGAAGTCAATCGGAGCTTTGTCACTGATTTTAAGGCAGAAGAATTGGACCATAAATAAGCAACAAACCAAGGAACAGCCAACCTCAAAAATGAAAAAGTTGCACACAATCACTAGCTATACCACCCTAGACTAGTTCAATATTAATGCTCATTTATTTTAGTTTTTCAGATATTTATTAATAAATGTAATTGTGATTTTGATTAGGAACCAAGACACAAGGTTACAGTTTATAAACTGAATTTATAGGCTCTATGCAGGGGGAAGAGCTGCCTCTTTGTCTGCTGGCACATAAACGCCTCGGAATTGTCAGACACATAGATGAACATAATTTGTCTGGGAAGAGTCAACATGGTTTTTGTAAAGGGAAATCATGCCTCACCCATCTACTAGAATTCTTTGAGGGGGTCAACAGGCATGTGGACAAGGGCAATCCAATGGATACAGTGTACTTAGATTTTTCAGAAAGCCTTTGACAAGGTCTCTCATCAAAGGCTCTTAAGCAAAGTAAGCTGTGATGGGACAAGAGGGAAGGTCCTCTCATGGATTGGTAACTGGTTAAAAGATAGGCAACTAAGGATAGGAATAAATGTTCAGAGTTTAGAATGGAGAGAGGCAAATAGTGGCGTCCCCCAAGGGTCTATACTGGGACCAATACCATTTGACATATTCATAAATGATCTGGAAAAAGGGGTAAACAGTGAAGTGGCAAAATCTGCAGATGATATAAAACTATTCAAGATAGTTAAGTCCAAAGCAGACTGAGAAGAGCTACAAAGGGATCTCACAAAACTGGGCGACTGGGCAACAAAATGGCAGATAAAATTCACTGTTGATAAATGCAAAGTAATGCACACTGGAGAACACAATCCCAACTATCCATATAAAATGATGGGGTCTAAATTAGCTGTTACCACTCAAGAGAGATCTTGGCGTCATTGTGGATAGTTCTCTGAAAACATCCACTCAATGTGCAGTAGCAGTCAAAAGAGAGAACAGAATGTTGGGAATAGTGATAGATAATAAAACAGAAAATATCATATTGCCTCTATATAAATCCATGGTACGCCCACATCTTGAATACTGAGTATAGATGTGGTTGCCCCATCTCAAAAAAGATATATTGGAATTGGAAAAGTTCAGAAAAGGGCAACGAAAATTATTAGGAACACTTCCGTATGAGGAGAGATTAGTAAGATTGGGACTTTTCAACTTGGAAAAGAGACAACTAAGGGGGGAGGGAGTATGATAGAGGTCTATAAAATCATGACTGGTGTGGAGAAAGTAAATAAGAAAGAGTTATTTATTCCTTCTCATAA